AACAGTTTTTATTTAATTTAAATATAATGGAAATAAATGAAATTAAAATTAAAATACGTATAAAAATAAATTAAATATTGTATAAAAATAATTATTTGTTGATATATATTGTGGGGCGCTGGTATTCTTGCGCAATCTGGCGTTGATTCTCTTTTTAGGGAAACGAGCGATACTTTTGTCCGCCCACTATAGCCACTAGGCAGCTGACGTAGCGGCTGCACCTGCCACAGCCCTGCAAGCCAGAGCAACGCAGTTGGCCCGTGCTAGAAACAGATCAAAGCAAATGGCAAAACATATGGCCCATTAGGGCACTTCCAATCGCATCGTCTCCTCAACCCGACCTATGCCCAACGACCCGACCATGTTGGAATATTCTCCAGATTGCTACTGCTGCCGTATCGACACATGGCTAAGCGATTGCGCAGCGGCAGAGAGCGAATGCGCAGACGATGCCGCTCTCGACCATGAGCAAAAAAGCCGCGCCATCATGCCAGTGACACCGCCGCTCTCATCCACCAGGCGCTCGATATCGCCTTCTAAGAGACGACGTATCGAAGTAGACGACAACGCCGACGAAGACCACACACTGCCACCCGATAGCGACCCGACACCTCGCCCCGGCCGGTCTATGTCCGAGCAGCGCCCCTTCGTTATCTTGCCGCCACCACCAGACCAGCGCTCCATCCCCGGCAGCCACAGCCATGACCAAAGCCGCGGCGCGAGAACGAAATCGACCGGCTCGGGGTTCTCTCCCCACAAACAACGCTCGACGAGCCCCGTGAAAAAGCCACAAGATATGCGAGCCCTGTCCAAGCCTATCGAAATGAGAGCATTGTCGAATCCCAAACACCAACTTTCCCCCGATATGGCCAATTTGTATCGCCGCATACAAGACATTGTCGAGTTTCAGAATGCGTTCGTTCCCGCCGAGGCTCAAGAGGCCATAACTGGGGCCCTGCAAGAAACCGGAGATTGGGCAACGTCATGGCCAGGAAATTGGTTTTTTTCCAGCCCAGAAGGGACGACAGATTCGGGTTCCCAAGATAGGAGGGCAGCGGCCGAGGCAGAGTTGGCGGCGCTGTTAAAATTGAAAGCCACGGCGGACGAGTGCCTGGACGAAAGCGTTTCCGAAGCAGCGTGGAATATGGATGTCCACTCCCCCATACTTCAGCTGGCGACAGCTGGGTCCGGGGTACGGCGCCTCGTCATTACCACAGCCCGTATCGCCCCCGCATGGCTCGCCACCGTCGGCCCGGCCTCGTCAGTGCCTGGGACAGCATCTACGCCCTCCATCTCATCCTCTACCGCGTCTTCGGTGGGTCGACCGCATCTCGCCACCGAAGGCGCAGGCGCAAATGCGGCCGTTGCAGCTGGCAAGATGGTGGACTTCGCTTTGGTGCTATCCGAATCCGAGGGGACGCCGCTGGGGTCTGCCATACTGAACGCTGTCAGGGCGGCGGCGCCGGACGAGCGGTCGGTCAACCAAAGCACGTACATGCCTCTAACTCTGCGACCTCTAGGTGTCAGCATCGAAACCAAGGCTTCGACGAATCTTGCTGAGGGCCGCGTCCAGCTGGGGCTATGGGCAGCCGCCTGGTTCGCTCGGATGCAGGCGTTGATATCCGTAATGCCGGCGGCGAAAGGCATACCTACCGCCATGCCCGTCATCCTAGTGTTTGAGCACCGCTGGGCGTTGTCGTTTGTTTGTGACCGTGGAGTAAAGTTCGAGTTTATTGGCGAGGTATTGATTGGGGATACGCGCTCGTTGGTGGGCCTGTACAAGTTGTTGGCAGTGCTACGGGTGCTGGTCCAGTGGATGGATACCGACTTGAGGGCCTTTTTTGAGGATCTGTTTGATGTGTAATGAGCAGGCGAGCTCCGTTTGCCGCTCACAGCTGGGCCAAGTCCCAAAAGAACTCGGCCTGGTCAGACGTCTGGACTGCGAGTCCAAGCTGCAGGTCAGACTTCTTCGGTGTGTGTGCCGAGCAAGCCCCTCGATCTCTTCGGCTATCATGCGCTCCATCTCGGGCGCAAATGGGCATGAAAGAATGCGATGGCGACATTTTGGTCTCCCGCAAGATAGCAAGCCTCCCGATTCGACCCGTTTGGTGGGTGCGGCGGACAGCTGGGCCCTCTGGCCATTGCCGAACGGACAGGCCTCTAGCCAGCACGGCCGAACGTTCTGGTTGGGCGGTTACACCCAGGGACATTGATAATGCATGACATTGAATGACACCGAGCTGTGTGATGTTCTTTATGAGCCGTTGGCTATTCAAGCGAGCTGTAACAACGCTGCCGCTGGACGGCGTCCAAGTGTTCCCGCCTCCCGACCGAGGGATTCCAGGTCGGCAACCACTTCGCTGTTCTGCGAAGACCTAGATGCAGCCTCTTTTCGCCGTCTGCTGCGCCTGCCTTCTGATATTCGGCACCTGCTGCTATAGCTGGTCCTCGTGGCGTGGGTTCCTTCTCACGTGGCTGAGAGCGTGGGCGGCATGGGACGGTGGCTCTCTGAGTGGGTGCTCGCAATGGCTATGGCAACTAGTTCCTTGGACCCGATACTAGCAGATCGGAAAGGCAAAACACGCACGCTTTTTGCCATAAGCCCACGGCACATTTGAGGGTGTGGCCCCGAATATACCTGGAGCGACCCCACAAGCAGAAGGCCAGCAGCATAGCACCACATCCGCCCGCCCGGAACACATCCGCCCGCCCGGAAAAACGAAAGCGCACTGTATCCCCAAACTGGAGCCCGCTCATTGTTGAAGCTATGAATGAGTGTCAGTCGAGGCTGAATTGCAAATCGATGCTCGTCCAAAGTACCAAAACTGTCGTTTTTGTAGAAGGTATGCGGGGGGCTGAAATAGTGAACTTGTTGCGCTTAGGGGCAGCCGATACACCCTAAATCTATCAACTGGTTCGAACCATTAAAATCCGTATTGGCCCCGCAGCTAGCACCCGAGTGTTGGGTGGGAGCTGGCGAGTGCCTGACGGTTCCTCATCCCCAACAACTGTTGGCAAAATTTCCATTTTAATCACCCCTCCTAAACCGTTCTTCCATGTAACCGTCGTCGGATAATCCCGAGTATTCGAAAGCTTGAACGCTCTGCCTGCGATATCCACCCATTCGTCTTCCACGATTATCTACACATTATGTTGGAAGATAGCCGCAAATCCATGAGAAGGCAGAGATTTGGAAGCGGGGAAGAAGCGTTTGGGAGGAAGTGTGGTATTTATATGGTCGAACACGAATCTGGCAACGAATCGTCGAGGTCGGAGCGCGGGGTAAAACAGTGGAATGCATCTGATCTGCGAATGTGCGAATGGTCGGCCTGCAAATGCTGCGTTTCCGCCAGCTGGTCTGCTCGCTGCTCGAGCTCTTCCCTCGTGCTCCTCCTTCGGGAAAGGCTTTGGCGGCTGGAGTGAACTCGGTCCGGGTGGGGGCCTTGTTCAGTCTTCCAATGGTCTTTTTCAAGTCCGAAACTCTTAACGTGAATGCCGTCTGCTTCACCAATGCTCCATTCCGTGGTGGCGGAGCCGGGGGTGACGACTGCCCAGCCGGGGACGGAGGATCGGAGGGAGCCGTCTTTGGGGCGGCCTACAACGTGGGTCGGCCTGTGCCCGGGATATCCATGAAGAAAGGAGGATTGGGCGGGACCTGCTGGTCGCCCTGCGCACGGACCCACGTGCACCTAAATTGCGGATCTCTGCCCCTCGGACTCCCCGGCCAGGACCGACCAGTGCGACAGCGCCAGCCTCGGTGTCCCTGCGCATTGCGCAGCCCATCCAGCACCCCCTGTGTTTATGCTTGCCGCTTGCCGCTTGCCGCGATAATCCGAAAAAAGGAACCCGCCCGCCTCGCGTCCACCTCCGATGACTGCTTCTCATCACCATCTCACGACGAGTCGACTGTCTGGCCCTGGGGAAGACATTTTCCCGAGAAGCGGCCGAAGAGGCCGAGAATAGACAAGCGCCGCTGAGGAACGCCCCCCCAAATCACGCTGCCCCGGTGACGTCGATTTGTCGATTCTTTTCCCTGATTGCGAGATAAGCCCAACCGTCGGAAGCGCCACCAGGGCGCGCCATGCGTCTCCCGATAGTCTCGTCCTCCACGCCCACGATGCCACCTCCGCCATTATCGATACCGCCACACAACCTCCAGCCGCCAGACGGACGCTCCTTGCTGCTGGCAACAGAGGCCGTCGCGAGGGCAGCCCTGGCGGCGCACTCGTGGGCCGCCGCCACCAATTCCACGCGGCCAGGCGGCAGCGGGGACGGCGGCGGCGATGACTCTGGCAAGGAGCTGCAGAACTGGTCGTCCATCATCGGCATCGTGACTGCCATCGTCGGCAACGTGCTGATCGCCCTCGCCCTCAACGTCCAGCGCTATGCCCACATAAGCCTACACCGGAAGAGGCTCGAGGTGCGCGAGCGCGCCAGGCAGGCCCTGCGGAACGCCGCAAAGAGCGGCCAGAACGGCTCTGGCGCCCGAGCGTACGGCGCACTGGGCACAGGGTTGGACGGCCATGCCCCAGGCACTGGCGGACGAGCCCAGCATACCGAGAACGGGCAGGATGACGACACAGAAAACCACATGCCGCTCGAGTCGGATCCGCTGGCCCAAAGCATCCAGTCGACCGGCTCGTCCTCGCCCGCCAGCGACGACGATGACGATATCGAGTCCACCAACTACCTCCAATCGCCGTCGTGGTGGCTGGGCCAGGTGCTGATCACGGTGGGCGAGATGGGCAACTTCCTTGCCTACGGCTTCGCCCCCGCGTCCATCGTATCGCCGTTGGGCGTGGTGGCGCTCGTGTCCAACTGCGTCATCGCGCCCATCTTCTTCAAGGAGGTGTTCCGCCCGCGCGACTTCTGGGGTGTCGTCGTCGCCGTCGCCGGCGCCATCACGGTTGTCATGAGCGCCAACACGGAGGAAACAAAACTCGCGCCCCACGACGTTTGGAACGCCATCAGTACGTTCGAATTCAAGATATACATGGCAGTTTCGTGCTCCCTAATCGTTCTGCTCATGTGGGCGAGCCCGAGGTATGGGCACCGCTCCATCCTCGTCGACCTAGGCCTGGTGGGCTTATTCGGTACGTAGCAAACCCTCGCTCTCGCCCCTGTTGTGCCAGCCTGTTTCGGAAAGTGTCCCAGCAGGCAGACATACCCGCTAACACATGCACCACTCGCTCTCAGGTGCCTACACGGCTTTGGCCACCAAGGGCGTCTCGTCGATGCTTTCATCCACCCTCCTGGGCGCCTTCACCACCCCTGTGACGTATGTGCTCCTTTTTGTCCTCTTGGGCACCGCCGTGATGCAGGTGCGCTACGTGAACAAGGCACTCCAGCGCTTCGACTCGACCCAAGTCATCCCTATCCAGTTCGTCATATTCACGCTCTCGGTCATCATCGGGAGCGCTGTCCTGTACCGGGACTTTGAAAAAACCACAGGCGATCAAGCTATCACGTTTGTCGGCGGCTGCCTGCTCACATTCTTCGGCGTGGTTTTGATCACGAGCGGCCGTGCGTCGCAGCATGAGGATGAGGAGGGCCTATCGGACGTCGAAGGTATCGAGGAGACTATCGGTCTCGACGACCAGGGCCCTGTAGGCGGCTCCAGTAGCGTGCAAAGTTACCAATCCCAGCAGCCGAACACAGCGGCACCGGCGGGTGATGGCACCCCCTCAAGACGATCATCACGCGTCAGCTTTTTGGACGCTTCTGGGAAGCCCACCTCTATCCTTGCGAACAGAGGCATCCCGTCATTACGGATACCGCAGCCCCCAAAACCTCCAATGGGTACTGACGGCACGATGGGTGTGGGCGAAGACACACCGCTGCTGGGGGAAAACCCCTGGATACAATCCCCCATCGCGCACTCAGCGCTGGGTATAATGGATGCTGGCCTTGACAACGAGGGTCGCCAGCGACGTACCTTCTCGACGGACTCGGTCGACGACGCATTCCGGCCGGGCGGCGGCCGGGCAGTGGCCTCGGCGCCGACATCGACCCTACCCACCCCACACGACGACGGGGACCCCTTTGATCTGTGTTCGCTGACCTACATGGCCTCGACCGGCACGTCTTATCCCGACAACCCTACCACCCCGCGCCCTCCCACGGCGCGGCCTCAGTCGCATCACTTCTCGGGCCCCATCTTCTCCCCTTCGCCGCTGTCGTCGACAGTAAGCGCCGTGGTGGCCGACACTCTTCTTCTCCGGGACCTGGAGAGCCCTTCTTCCTCGACGAGGAGACTTGGTCTGAGACGCAGCCGGCCGAGTCTCCGGTCGAGCCTCTTTATGCCACACGACGAGGCCTTGTCCCCAGCCAGGACCGACCTCGCCCCCTGGACCCCTCCCGACAGCAGGGCCAGGCTCGAAGGGGTTGGTTTTGATGGCGGTGGCCCATCGTCCCCTGGCGACCATGATGACGAAATGTCTGGCGAGGGTGGCCTCAGGGGCCGCGCTCGCAGCTTGAGCCTGACCTTGGGCGAGCTGTTTGGGTCGAGGAACAATAGGCGGCGAAGGGACAGCGGGCCTGACGACGAGCAGGCGGGCCTGTTGGCGACGGCTCAGGGTTCCGGGAGCACAAGCGCACTCTGATTGTGTAGTGCCACATTACAGGAAAGTTTGTTTGACTTTTGTTTTTCTGTTTGCATCGTACTCCCCGCTTCCTTGTGGCGTCTACTAGACCTGGCGGAGTTGGCGGCGATGATTCTCGCATTTGCATTGGATAGGCGTTGTATCTCTTTTTTTTTTTTGGCTTTTGGCTTTGACGCCAATGTTGGGCTAGTCTTGCACGCCATCAGCCAGTTGTTCAACTGCGGACTCTTGGATGTTAAGGGTCTGTTGGGGTGTATATAGCGTGGGATTATATCGCATTGCAGGTTTGGCTGTGGAACAAATCTTATCTACTGGGTGAAATGCGACACGTCAAATGCTTCCAGGTACAGTAGAGCAATGAGAGAAAGAAGCGCAAACAAGTGCATGCATGACCTTTATGGCCTGCTATAACGTCCGACGGCCAAGGGGAGGGCTATGGCTCGTCGGGCTTGCGCCCCTGGCGGGCCCACTCGCGCAGCACGTTCTTCCTGATCTTGCCGGTGCTCGTCTTTGGCAGCTCGTCGACGACGTCGACCTCGCGGGGCACCATGAACTTTGAGATGGCGCTCTGGTCCCTGGCCCACTCGATGAGGTCCTCGCCGCGCAGCGCCGGGGCGGGGTTGCCGTCGCCGCCGCCGCCCCTGCGCTGCCTGGTGGTCACGTAGGCCTTTGGCCGCTCGCCCCAGCGGGAGTCGGGCACGGCGACGACGCCGGCCTCGAGCACGTCCGGGTGCTGGACCAGCATGCTCTCGAGGGCGACTGACGAGATGTTTTCGCCGCCTGTTTTTTTTTTTGTTTGTTAGCAAGGAGGTTGTGGTTGGGAGACGGAGAAGGAGACAGAGTGAGAGAGGTGACAGAGAGAGAGAGAGGTGCGTACCCGAAATGATGATGTCCTTTGCCCGGTCCAGGATCTGGGCGCTCCCGTCGGGGTGCCAGACGGCCAGGTCGCCCGAGTGCAGGGCGCCGCCGGCGAAGAGCTTGGCCGTGGCCTCGGGGTCCTTGTAGTAGCCCTTTGCGCAGATGTTGCCGACAAAGACGATCTCACCAATCTCCTTGCCATCCTTTTTGACGTCGACGAGGACTTCGTCGTCGTCGTCGTCGTCTGATGGTGGCTGCTGCTGTTGTCGTTGTTGTTGTTGTTGGTAAGTGGCGTCATGATGGCTCTGGTGCAGCGCCTGCTCCTCCTCGGCCGGCGTCCTCACGACGCGGATGGGCAGGCTGGTCAGGAAGCCGTGGCCCTGGCGCGCCATGAGGGCGTACTTTTCGGCCGGCGGCAGCGCGTCCCAGGCCGGCATGTGGTAGCCCTTTGTGATGGGGCCGTACGTCTCCGTCATGCCGTAGACGTGGACGGGCCGCAGGTTGAGGTCCGTCATCTGCGCAAACAGGTGCGCGGTCGGCGGGCTGGCGGCGACGGTGACGCGGACGGGCGCCTCGAGCGCGCCCGCCTCGGGCGCGGCGCACAGCAGCGTGCACACGGTCGGGGCGGCGCTAAAGTGCGTGACGCGCTCCTCCCGCAGCAGGCGCCAGATGGCGGCGTAGTCGACGCGGCGGAGGCACACGTGCGTGCCGCGCGCGGCCGTGACGGCCCAGGGGAAGGTCCAGCCGACGGCGTGGAACATGGGCAGGGTCCAGAGGTATCTGCAGCGGTGGCGCCCGCCGCCGCCGCCGCCGCCGCCGCCGTCCGCCTCCCCGATGTTGAGGCCCGACTCGACCACGTTGGCCAGGGCGGCCAGGTAGGCGCCGCGGTGCGTGTAGACGACGCCCTTGGGCCGCGACGTGGTGCCCGACGTGAAGGGGATGGCGATGGCGTCGTCCTCGTCGGCCGGGTGCGGCGCCAGGCCGGCCCAGCCGCGCCGTCCCTTCTTGTCGGCGTCTAGCCCCGCGAGCACGGCCTCGTCAAAGGGCCCGCTCAGCTCGCCCTCGGTCGCGTCCGTGTCCGTGTCGACGATGAAGCGCACCCCTGGGTGCTCGGACCTGAAGTGCGACAACAAATCAACAAACTCGGCGTCGACGACCACGCAGTCGACGTCGGCGAAGCCCAGGATGTACGACACGTCCTCGGGCTTGAGGCGGTAGTTTACGGGCACTAGGACCGCACCGGGCACGGCGCCGACGCCAAAGATGGTCTCGAGGAAGGCCGGGGTGTTGGGCGCCACGATGCCGACGCGGCGGTAGCCCCCGGCCAGCAGGTAGTAGGCCAGGCCGCGCGCCCGGTCGGCCAGCTCGGCGTAGGACCGCCGCAGCGTCTTGCCGTTGGCCGTGACGTGTACAACAGCCTCGGCGTCGGGCTCGATGGAAGCGGCGCGCTCGAGGAAGAAGGTGGGTGACAAGGGGTGCAGGTGGTGTTGTTTTTGTCGCGGTTGTTGCTGGGGCTCTGGCTGCTGGTGCTGCTGCTGTTGCTGTTGCTGTTCCGTCGGCTTGTCAACCAGGCCGAGGTGGCCGAGCACCGCCCGCAGCCGCGACGGAGGGCCTGACATGGCCAAATGGGAGAATTGTCAGGGGCAGAGTGTTGCAAAAAAAAAAAAAAGATGAGACGAATTACTTTACGTAGGCGGACAAAGTTCGGCGAAAAACAAAGTAAAAAGAAGAAGAAAAAAAGGCCAAGGCCGTTGATATTTCTACACCGTCCCTCTGCAGCGTCGACCTAAGCTCCCTGGACTGTGCTCGACCACCCTCCGTACTCGGCCGGTCCAGGGGAGATAGGCATTTAAGCCAAGGCCAGCCAGCTGGGGGTAGGTAGGTGGCACCCAGTGGTAGCGTGGTGCCCCCTGAAGCCGCCTGGGCCAGGTGCTGGGGACTGGCGCCAAGACCGGGGACGTGGGGAAGCTTGGGGTCGGGACCCGCCCCCAACTGCTTGTTACCCTTCTCGGAAGCCGAGGCAACGGTACGATTGGGGGTCACTGTGGGGATGTCATTGCCCTCACGGCCAGCTTCAATTTTGTTGAAACTAGTCTTGCCATTCATTGTACACCGCCAAGGGGTGCTTTCCATTCCTCCCTACATTTCACAATTATTACGCCCTAAAATAAGCTGTGCCTGTGCTATGTAATATTCTTTGTTGAACACGGCGGGCAGCCATAATCTAGTCCTTCTTGATGAGGCCGTCAAACAGCGGCTTTAGCGACCTGGCGCTCTTCTTGGGGTAACGCTTCTGTCCGTTCTTGTAATCGACAAAGGTGACACCGAATCTGGAAACAAAAACATGTTAGCGTGGGCTGGGAGGGGCACTGCAGCGAGCGAGCAGCAGCAACGACAGTAACGGCAACACCCACCTCGTCTCGTATCCCTCGGCCCACTCAAAGTTGTCCATCAGCGACCAGGCAGAGTAGCCGCGCACGTCGACGCCGTCCTCGGCCACGGCGGCGGCCATGGCCTTGACGTAGCCATCGAAATACTTGACGCGGAAGTCGTCCTTGAGGATCCGCTCCAGCGGCATGTCGTTCTCGCCCTTGACCGACGTGCCGTTCTCGGTCACGTAGATCTTGGGGCGGCCGTAGCGCTTGCTCAGCCAGTTGAGCAGGTCCCGGAACCCCTGCGGGTTGGGGCGGAGCCAGAACGACTGCGTCTCCTCGCCGATGCACTCGCCGCTCTTGGACCAGAAGAGCGTCTCGAGGTTGCCCAGGAAGTCGTCAGCTGGCGGCTCGCCCGTCTTGTGCTTGATGTAGTTGGCCGTGTAGTGGTTCATCCCGTAAAAGTCGTTGGAGCCCTTGACCAGCGCCTCCTCCTCGGGCGTGAATGTCGGCAGCCGGTCGCCTAGCTGCTTCTTCATGGACTTCGGGTAGTGTCCAAAGTAGACGGGATCCGCAAACCACGAGATGGCAAACTCGATCTTGCGGTCCGCTGCCTCCACGTCGGCCGGGTCTTCGGGATCCCACGGGTACGTGGCGTCACCGTTGAGCGTGATGCCGATCTCTCCGCCGTCGGTCGCCTTGAACTCGTCGCGGTACACCTTGACGGCGCGCCCGTGCGCCACGAGCAGGTTGTGACCCACCAGCCAGGGCTCCGTCGCGCTGTCGCCGACGGGCGACTTTGTGCGGTCCGACGTGTGGCCGGGCGCAAAGAAGCCCGAGTTATAGCCCAGGATGGCCGAGCACCACGGCTCGTTGAACGTGATCCAGTACTTGCACTTGGGGATGGCCTTGAACATGACGCGGGCGTAGTGCTCAAAGTCGAGCGGGAACTCCTGCCTGTTGAGCAGGCCGCCGTACCGCTTGTCCAGCGCGTCTGGCAGGTCCCAGTGGTACAGCGTGATCATGGGCGTGATGCCGGCATCAAGCAGGTCGTCGACAAACTTGACGTAGTGGTCGATGCCCTTTTGGTTGATGGGGTCGTTGCGGCCGCCGAGGGGGATGATGCGCGACCAGGCAATTGAGAAGCGGTACGACCTGGCGCCCACAGACTTGAGAAGTTCGATGTCCTCCTTTGTCCTGTTGTACGAGTCGCACGCCGTGGCGCCCGAGCTGCCATCGGCCACCTTGCCGGGGATGGCCGTGAAGGTGTCCCAGATGGTAGGACCGCGGCCGTCCTTGTCGACGGCACCCTCGATTTGATACCTGCAACGGTTAGCAAGTGAGTGTGTGGCAGCGGCCAGCCGTGTCGGCTAGCACAGAGGTCGGAGCAGAGTTGGGCATGCGTGATGGGCGATGGCCCCGCCGGCCTCTCTGATCTTCCGCTGACCTCGGCCCATCATTGGCATGGGGTTTGGGCTCAAGCACTCACGATGCCGTCGCGAAGCCCCACAAGAAGTCTTTGGGCAGAGACATGATGTCTGGCTGGCTGGACTGTTTAAGGGGCTGTTTTTTCCCCCTCCTTTCTCCTCTACTCTTTCTTCCTTCCAAGCAGATGGTCGACAGGTCGTTGGAAATCTCAGCCCTCCGTCATGTGTTTTGTTGTCGTAACTTGCTCCCTTCCAAGTCAGGGAGGGCGAGCCTTCTCCAGGGATGGACCAGGACGGGCCAGGAGCTGAAGAATGGATGACAGGGAAAGGGGGTGTGTGGGTGCTCGCGGGTGTGCGTATGCGTGTGGGCAGTGCGGTGCGTGTGTGTGTGTGTGTGTGTGTGTGTGTGTGTGTGTGTGACGGACAAGGCAGCCTCGCCGCCCCTTTATATGGACAGAGGGAGCTGGTCTCGGGCTGGGGCGCCCACAGGCCACGCAGCAGGAGCCGGAGCACGGCACGGCGGGCATGGGGTGCGCTGGAGTATAGGCCGGATCTGCCAGTCGGTTTCAGCCATGTTGGACTTTGATTGAGGAAATTGATCCCCAATTCTCCCGTGTCGGACCGTCGACACCGAGAACAGGCTGGGCAGGAGGTTGGAGCTAGCAGACGTTGGGGTGGAGATGCCCTGTGCAAAGGCGGGCCCTCGCTCGAATCGGACGGCGGCAGCGGGCAGGGGTGCCACGCCATGCGCCCCTAGCCCTGCGCTGTGGTTGGGCAAAGCGTGGGCAACGGCAGCACGCACCGCAAGCCCTCGATCCATGTCACTGCCAGGCAGGAAGCTCCAAGGTTCCATTGCGCCCCACCGCGGGGTAGGTACCTTGGGTACCTTGGATACCTTGGATACTGCACATGCACAATGCCTACCCAGGTACCCAGGTGCACCTGCCGTCAACGCCACGATCCATTCGACCTCTACCCCTCATTCGCCCCGAGGGGCCTTCCCACCTTGGTTCCCTCGACCCTTTCTCGTCCACGAGGCACCGGACGTCGTCCAGGTGACGCCAGGCACATCCACTCGGCGGCATATGCCTGGCCCCCGACACCCATCTCATTGGGCAACCCAGCAACTGAAGAAACAGAAAAACGCCAAAGAAAGGCACATCCCCTTCCGTGTCCCAACTATCCCAACTTTAACCGTACAACTGGAACTCTCCTAGCGCCTCGCATTGGACGAGAAGGCCTCGAGGGGCTACCGGCTTCCCCCTTCTGCTGCCACCAGACACGGACCAGACTTCTAGAAGGCCAGATCGGAACAGCGACCGAAACCGAAAGCCAGATCCGATAGGTGGGATTTCACAACGGGCCATGGGCCATGGATCATGGAGGAGGAGGCCTTAAGGAGGAGGGCCTCAGAGAGGCAGATGCGACCCATATCAGGCCTGTCAGCCCCCCAAGCTTGGATAATAAAGGAGCGTGGGATAAAGGGCCAGACGGGACGAGAGGCTCCTGGAAAATGTTTCCGAGGTAGCATGTTGCCGGCCGTGTTGGCATCATGTGCCCCTGTTGGTTTGTTTTTATTTTTCAAATTCATTCTTCATTTTGCTCATCCATCCCGACATCTCCAGAGCCCCGTCCAGGCATGTATCTTGCTCCATATTTTGTTTCCTTGTCAATCTCGCCTCTGACGTCCTGCCAGGTCAAGGTTCCCAGCCGCCGCCTCTCGAGCCGGGCCGCGACTCCGAACAAACAGCAGAACCTGGCCCAGCTTGTTTTGTTTTGGGAAACACATGACCCGGCCGGCACCATCCAATCGCCTAAACGTCGGTCTTGCCTGTTGCGTGGTCTTGGCGGTTCCCACACTCCCGCTGGCCGTCCTGCCAACTTTTCCTTTTCCTCGTCCTTATTCCCTCAAGGGCAGGCTGTGGTAGCATGGCATGAACATATAGTGCCGACCTGTTTCCCTTGTCCGCCCCGTCGGCGGGTGTTTGTATGCATGTAACTTTACAAAGCCGCGGGTAGTGTGGCCACGGCTCGACCCAGGTCTCCTTCGAGAGCCGAACCAGGTTGGGGACATCTGCTGGGTGACTTGGATCCTGCTAGGCCGAGTCGTCCAAGTACTCGCCCTCGCTCGCGTCGCTGGCATATCTCCCCCGTCACACCCTTCGGCTCGAGATCCGCGTCTAGCCAAGGGTCCGTCCTGCCTAGCACCAATCGGGCTAAAACGTGTCCGCCAGCGCCAGTCTTGCCCATTTGTGTTTTTCGCTATAGTGTATGCCTATCCATTCTTCTCGTGTTCAACAACCCGATCGGCAGCCCTCGGCACCCCCTGCCGCCCTCTCCTGTCGCCACCCGCGCGCCAACCCATACTGTCTACTTCTCCTCCTACAAAACAGCAACCCACAGGCTCGCCGCGGGCTGAGAAGGAACAGCCGCTGACGACAGGGAGGCCTGGCTTAACCGACGGCAGATCTCTCTGAGGGATTAGATCCTCCCAATCGATGTCGTATCAGCTCCACGGTTGGGGCGGCCCGGCCTGCTCGCCCAAACGTCCCCCTATAGCGCGCTCTGATATTATTGTCGAGGGGGGGCCGCCCTCCTCTTCGCGCCCCTCACCTCCCACTCATTTGCCCACATGCGAACGGCAAAGCAGGCAAGGGGAGAAAAGAAAAAAAGACAGATGTGCGCCAGCCCGGAAGGGAACCCGACGCGCATAGTGGCCCATTTATGTGTGGGCAACTTTTACATGACCCGTTGTCGTGACCCTTATCAGCCGCCTTCTTCAGCCCAGGGGGTAAGCCATATATGTAGCTATCTTCGCCCCTCCTCCACTTACTCCTTATATCCGGATGCACACACCGAGGATACAAGGTCCCTCCCCCTTAAACCCCCCCGCGGGTACACGGGCGGCACCCCCCGACGAAGCTGCCCCTTGCCGTCGTATGCGAAGAGGGGCGGATCACGGTATCGATCTCCCGCGAACCTGATCTCTCCCAAGCAACACTCCCTGTCCTTGATGCCTGCTCCTGCTTCGCAATCCGACCCCCCCTCCGAGAAAAAAAACCCAGAGATTCCATCTGCGCGTACATTCCCAGGTCACAAAATCTTGGCCTGGCCTTTGTCTTGCCCAGCCTCGGGTCTTTATTGTCCTTCCGTACATGCCGCGACGCCACACACGCCCCCCTCCACCACTTCTCGCACAGCCGTGTGTGTGTGTGTATGTATATGTGCGTGCCTGTGTTTAGCGGCGGAAGCGCGGGTACGGAGAAATTCGGTTCGCCGAGCCCGCCGCCTCGCCTCAGCCGAAACACACATGAACTACCTGCCAGGCGGGACGGACGAGAGGATGGTCGCTTTCCTAAATACCCGCCGAGATCGGGACATGTGGATGTGAGGGAGGTGATCTGCGGGTTCCCGCAAATTGCAAAGTGAAGAAATAACGTGAACGTTTCTTGTTTTGGTGCTTTCTTTTTTTTCGTTGGACCAATATGACCGCCATGTTATGAGTTGCAAATACAATACAGATAACCACCAGGGGAGGGCTGCTCATCCATATCCCTCGCCATCCGCGTGCAGCATCTCATGGACATCCGGCCCGGGACACGCGGCCGAGATGACCTCGGCTGACAGATTTCCTTCCCATCTCGCCACGTTTTCTTTGCTGCCTTCTTGTTTTTTTTTCTGTTCTTCGTGTTCCTTTGTCTTCACAGCCATCGCTAGACCGCGAGTGACACGCTAGCGGGCATGGTCACATTTCCTACCGGCGCGCAGCCCGCAAGCTCCTACATGTTAGCGTGACGTGAAGTACCGGTGACCTCGTAGCCGCTACCTGCGTCGTCGGGGTGGATGCGTTGCAGCCGCGGGAGCCTCGTCCTTGCCCTGCTCACCTCCCTTGTCCACAAGAAAGAAAAGGGGCGAGGCTAAACTTTAGCTTGTCCCACACACACACACACACACATACACATACACACAACCCTATCCCTGTCCCCAAAGAGAGTTGCTGCTACGTGGCATGCCGGTCCTCGCCAAAAACCCGCTCGGGAGGTCCGTCGGAGGCACTGCTTGCGAGCTCCCCCATCCAAGGCCTGCATACAGAATCCTACCTCCTACCCCACCGAGATGCAATCCTGTCTGGCCTCCCCCGCACCTTTCCCCAAATCCATCTGGGCCGTCTCCTCTTTGCGTGTCTGTCTCTCTCTCTCTCTCTCTCTCTCTCTCCTCTACTCGTGCTCCTCCGCTACCACCTTCACATGCACCGCAGCGTACTCAGGAGTCACTGCCGCTGCGCAGGCTCGGCGCCCCCAGCGTCCCCGCCGTCGTCTTGTTTTAGCCGCTTGTGCGGGCTGGCCCTACCCCCGCCGTCGTCCATCTCGTCGTCGCCGTCGTCGACGCCGCCCGCCGTCCACTCGACCACCTCCCACTCGTACGTGACGCGCCCGTCGCGGCCCCGGCCGCCGGCCCTGCTCGCGCGCAGGCTCCCGAGCCTGCTCCCGGCCACCAAGGAGTCGAACCAGGGCACGCCGAGCGTCTCGCGCGCGACCAACCCGCCACCACCACCACCGCCCGCCTGACCTCGGCAGCCCCCCTCCGCTGGTGCCACCACCTCGGCTCCACCATCGTCTGACGGCGGCGTCCCGGGCACGAGTCCCAAGTCCTCGAGGTCGCCTAGGTCCTCGCCGCACAGGCTGCCGAGCGTGAGGCGGATGAAGTCGGCCTCGGCGGGTGGGTCCTCGGACCAGTAGGAGAGCGGGGTGCCGCAGAAGCCGCAGAAGCCGCGCTTGGAGTGCCGTTGCGACGGGTGCGTGTACGTCCGCCGGATCGCCGCCGCCGCCTCGTCCGGGAAGTAGGCGCGGGTGCCGCTGCGGTACCACGACAGGGGGACCCGCAGGAAGGCCGAGATGGGGCTGGCCTGGAAGGTTCCTGTTTTTTTGTTTTGTTTTTTTTGGTGGTCAGCAAGTCTGACCTGTCTGTGCTGGCCGGCGGACGAAGGAGGGCAAGATAAGGGAGGTGAGCTCACGATGCCGAGGGTCCGTGTCGAACAGAACCCGTGCTATGTCCGCGCAGTTCTCTGGTAGGTCTATGGTGTAGTGATTACGCCCGCAGTGGCAGCCACCTCGTAGCGGCCGCGGAAAAGCCATGACCTAGCAGTTCGTTTAGCTAGAGTCCAAGGTTTGAGTTTTGGGACTTTCTTCGCTCGAGCCGGCAGCTGGAGGTATGTCCCCCGAGGATACACGAGCTTCAGGGCGTCGGGTGGTTTAAAGTCTGTCAGGCTTCGTAGTTCCTCCCCGGCCAAGGCGGGTATTGTATATCCTCAAGAACGGAGGAGGATGGGGGTTTTTTTTAGGCAGCTGCACCCCGTGAGATTGACTTGGTCAAAACGAGCGTTTGGTTCAGGGCAGCAGACTTTCCACATAAGGTGGCGGGAGGGGTGGGTTGCTTTTAAAACACCACGCCCGGCCCTCAAGATGGCACGGGCTATGAACTTACTGACGTATGCGCCGCCGTCGGTAGCTCTGCGGGGAACCCAGCTTAAGGGAATCCGGCTTATTTGGGGCCTCATGCTTTAACGGCCGGGCAGGGGCGACGTGGAGTCTAGCTACACAAGGCAGGTCCGACCCAGCGCACATACTGGCGTCTCGAGGTACTACTGTACTACGTACTACATGGAGGGTATTGGGTGTCTGGCAGTTTCGAGAACCTCCGTCCCAGTAACCAGTAGGTGCCAGGCGCCTAGAGGTACCTATCCAACCGCACAAGGATGCATGTGGCATGTGGTACAACGGCTGTAGCTGGAGCCAACTTTCCGATGCTTCGCTGGAGCTCTGCCCACTTCCACAGCTTTCCGCGAGCATGCATACCGGGCCCACACGGTCCCCAACTTGGCATGCACCCACCCTTGCGTGGCGTGACTACATCAGTGTTCCGTATAGGGGTGGGAATCAACTCTAATTCGCAGTTGTCATGGAGGTTAGTCTATCTAATAGGAGGAGCCAACAGCTTCCATTCTATCCCAAGTCCCCTAATGCTCTGGCTAGAGATAGGTATATATTATCATGAAAACATGCATCGTCCAAACCAGCCATAAGCATGAAAACTCCTGTTCGCCACGCGTCTTGGGCATCATTCCAAACTCCACCCTAGAAAAAAAGAAGACATAAAAGCCGGCACCGCTAAAAAGAAATTCTATCAGGCTGCCTTCCGCCTCTTCTCGGACTCCCTGCGCACCCCCTGGAAGAACTTGCTTGTGGGGTTGGCCTTGCCCTTGGCCTTGAGCGCCCTGTTGGCACTCCTGTTCTGCTCCACGTACGCCATGTTTTGGCCTCCGCCATAGTCCGACAACATCCCCGCCGTCCTCCGCGCCGCCCTGCGCATCGGCCTGCCGTCCGTCCCGTAAAACATGTTTCCGTCTGCCTCCAACGCCGCCTTCTCGGCCTCCACCAAGGCCTTGTGCTCCTTGTCGTTAAGAACCTTGAGGAGCAGCTCGCGCCGTTCCTGGGCCGTTGCGAAGGCCAGTCCCGGTGTCTTTTCCAGGTCTTTGAGCTGCGTAATCACCTTGAAGGCGTACCCTTGATCCGCTAGGAAAGCCTGCCGCTTGGACGCGAAGTTCATCTCGGCCGTGTCCTTGGACACGAGCGTGTAGAAGAAGGCGTTGAAGCCCGCCTCGTTCCTGCGCTTGGCTCGCAGAATCCGCCCCAACCGCTGCGCCTCCTGACGACGCGAACCATACTGCGAAGAAATTTGGATCAGGCACGTTGCCTCGGGCAAGTCGAGCGACGTGTCGCCAATCTTGGAGAGGAACAGTGTGTTTGTTTCGGGATGGCTCCTGAAAAGCTCCAGGATCTGCTGCCGCTCGCTTTCCGACGTATCACCATAGAGGAACGGCCTCTCCAGCTTGAACGCATACATTTTGAGCGCCGCGACGTCGTCCGAGAACACGATGATCTTGTCCCCTCGTGCTTCGTGGTACTTGATCAGATACTGGCATGCCTGGAATTTTGTCGGGTTTGTCGCGCAGAACAGCAACCGCTGTTTTGGGGGCGCGGCCAAGTACTGCTCGTAGAACTCGGGTGACATTGGACACCAGACCTCGGCGCATTGCACCCGAGCAATAAACCCCTGCTCCGACAGCTCCATCCAGTTCGCTTCGTAGAGCTTGGGTCCGATCAGGAAGTTGAGATCCTCGATCTTGTCGTCTTCACGCAGCAACGTCGCTGTAAGTCCAAGCTTCGAGTGCGCTTTGATGGTGCCAACGACGCGCCGGAACATGTTGGCGGGCACGACGTGCACCTCGTCTAGGAGCATCAAGCCCCACTCTCGGTTTTTCAGAAAGTCCATCATCTTGGCCGAGTCGTGCGAGCGCTTCCTAGCGTTGGTTACCATTGCGTACGTCGTGACGATGATGCCCGTGTTTCCATCAAACGTGTTCTTTTGATCCGACGAGAAGACGGCGACGCTGTCTGGATTGATGTTGGACCACTTGAGGAACTCGGCACGCCACTGTATGACGGACATGGTGCTGGTAGCGAGGATTACTACACCCTTTTTGATGGTACATGCGGCCGTGACTCCGACGAGCGTCTTGCCAGCGCCGCAGGGCAGCACGATGATGCCACTCTTGGCACGTCCATTTCCGAACATCTTGCTGAGACTCTTCTCCTGGTACGGTCGGATCTGTGTGTTTGGACGCAGGTCGATGTCCAGGTCCGCGTTCATGTGGTCGTTCCGGAAGTCGTACTCCTCGAGGGCCGGATAGTGCAACGCCAGGCAGCGCTCCGTCACCTTGCCGACGGCAGTGTCCTGGATCCGGAACGAGTGCACCACTTCCTGTTCGTCCTCATCGTTGCCCGTGTCGACGAGCGAGCGCGACACCTGGTCCGCCGTCTCGTATAGGTCTTTGCCCGCCTCTTTCCTCTGCAAGGCGTTGGCGCCGGCGGCCTCTTTGGACCCGGCGATGGCGATGGTGCCCGCCTTGGGGGCGGCCGTGACAGTCTCCTCAGTGCCCATAACGCGGCAGGGGCCGATCTCGGGATCCTTGAGCAGCATCTGCAGCACGGCCGGGTCGGCCGTTTCGACGAAATACTTGTTGTCGCGCAGCACCAGCTTGACTTTGCCATAACTCTGGCCACAGTGCATGACGTAGCTGGCGACGTTGGGAGGCATCTCGTTCTTGAGGAAGCGGTCGAGGGTGCTGAGGATGTCCTTGGGCGTCAGGCCAACCGAGACGGCGGCGTACAGGCTGTGCGCGGTCAGGCGGTACTCGTGGATAAAGGTGGGGCGCGAAACGGGCTCGGCGACGGTGATGAGGAAGTCCTGAACGCGCGGGGCCAGCGGGTGGAAGTTCTCGAGGTAGAGCTTGCCCCAGCCGTCGATGCGCAGCGGTCGGTCCTGGTGGTCGGGCTTGAGGGCGAGCGCGGTGAAGTCTCTGTGCTGCTCCGGAAAGAAGTAGCGGGCGGCCGAGTCGAGTGTTCGGGCGGGAAGCGAATAGGGGAAGGCGCCGATGTCGAATTTGCCGACATTCTTGAGGACGGCCTGACCGAGCGAGTCGTCCGGAGCAACCTGTTCCTCGTCGACCTCGTCCTCGCCCGACAGCGGCGTTTCCCAGCCGGGGGTCGCATCACCAGAAGCCTTGCGTTTGGAGGCCATGGCTGCGCACGACGCCTGGAGCGACCGAAGAGGGCGGTGGTAATAACGATACGCAGATGATATTCTTTCCCGCTCTTTGTCGTTTTCGATATGCTTTTTCGGGTGATGTAAAGACGGTTGTGTCGATAGTGTTGCAAAAAAGGTGACGATATCGAGCTTACGAGTTATGAAGAATGGAATCGCCTTCCATCGAGCTTTGGGCTGCCTGGAAAGTCCGCCGTTTGGTTGTGGGGCATAGCCCTTCTCCGCTTGGCTTGGACAGAGACCCACTTATGGAACTACTGGTTTTGGTTTAGCGCCTAGCCGGGGTTACCGCAAGACATAAGGAATACGACATAAACCAGAAGTCAAACAAGACGCGTGCAGCAATGGGAGTATTCCCCAATGGCAAGGGGTGTGAGAAGCAATAAGAATTATCATTGACGGCTGCCGTAAATAACACAGCAGCCAGGTTAAGTAATAGATAGCTTGACCGCCATTAACAGGTGCTGAGGAACAATCTCAAAACCAAACTCATTCTCCTCCACTTGTTGGATTGCTCTGCCCATCTCACCAGATGACACCAGAAAGAAATAAGTAAACGTCAAGCCATCCGATCCCGGTGAGAACACGAGGGCAGCCGAGACAGGCTCGCTCCCTGTCGGAGCTTACCAACCCTGACCCCAAGAGGAGCACTTGCCGCCAGAGTTGACGCCCTTGTTGACAGCCAAGCAGTCGTTGTACTGCGAGCGGCACTTGTTGTTGGCGGTGGACCAGGAGTCAGGGAAAGAGACGGTCCTTCCAGCGATGGACCGCTTCCACGGCCAACCGTTGGGAGAGCCGCCCCAGCCGCCCTTGTTGCTGTCCTTGGCCTTGCAACCCTCGGCATAGACCTTGACACAGTCGTCGTACTGCTCCTTGCAGGCGTCCTGGCAGGCGTTGGGCACACCGCCGTGAGAGTAACCTGGGCACTTGGAGCTGTCCGAGTCGGTGTAGAGCTTCCACTGCTTGCCTGACTGATGCTCACGCTTGATGTCGTTGCAGGTCACGACAGGGAGCTCAATGCCACCGACGGGGTTGCCAGGTCCGTAGTTGTCCTTCCAGCTGGTCGGCTGCTTGCAGATGTTGGTCACCGTCGGCACAGGGCACTTGTAGGTGGTGTTGGGCATACTGGGCTTCGTGGTGGTGGTAGGCTTGGTAGGCATGCTGGTGGTGTGGGGGGGCTTCGACGTGGTGGTGGGCTTGCAGGGAACCGTGATGGTCTTGGTCGTCGGCTTGCCTGAGGGACCCTTGACAGGGGGCTTCTGATTGAACCAGTCGCCCTTGGAGCACTTGTTCTTGGGGGGCTGCTTGCAGTACTTGTCGCAGCTGTCGCACCATTGCTGGAAGCCGAAGCACTCGGCGGCCCCAGGCCAGCCAGCCTGTTTGAAGCATGCAGCAACCTGAAGCTTGCAGTTGGAGGAAGCGCTCTTGCAGTCGTTCTGGTTTTCCCAGTTAGGAAGCTCACCAGAGCACCAGTTGCCGCACTTGTACTCGCACTTAGGGGTGGTGACAACGGTGGTGACACAGACGGCGCTGGAGGTCGTCGGGGTGTGGGTGGGCGGCTTGGTGGTGGGGGGCTGAGTGGTCGTCGGCGGCTTGGTCGTCACAGGGGGCTTGGAAGTAGTTGTGCAGCTGGTAGAAGAAGTCTTCTGGGTCGACGAGCTGCTAGTCGTGGCCTTGGTTGTGGTGGACGTGGTGCAGCTGGTGGAGGAAGTCGACGAGCTGCTTGTCGACGCCTTGGTTGAGGTCGTGGACGAGGAGCTGCTGGAAGTCGACGTGCTGACCATGGCCGAAGAGGTCGATGACGTGCTGATGACCGACGAAGAAGTCGAAGGCCAAGTAGTGGTCGACGACGTCGACGAGGAGGGAGGCGTGTAACCGCATGGCTCCAGGGACTCGAGGTCGTCGGAGACCCAGATGTTGACACGGGAGCTGCCGCCGCAGTTCTCCTTGGCGTCGCCCTTGCAGGGCATGTTGCACTCGGAGGCGTCGGCGGGAACGGTGCCGTTGCCCATGACCACACCACACCAGCACTCCTGACCGTACTCGGTTCCGGCGAACGGGAAGCCCTTGGACTTGCAGGCAGCCAGGCACTTGGAGGTAGTAGCGGTGCTCTCGTCCCAGGTCTGGCCCGTCACGTCTTGCACGGGGTACGCCAGAGTCTTGCCCCCGTTGGCATTGCTCGTGTAGCACCCAATGTTCTTGAAGTGCTCGATATTGGTCTCGTTGATGTGCTTGAAGGTCGGGTCCTGCCAGATGGAGATGCGGTCGTTGCCACCGCACGTCTGGTTCTTGTTTCCGGTACAGGGAAGGTTGCACTCCGCCTCGGTGGCCTCGGGGCCGTTCACGCTAGCGCCACAGTAGCAGTCGCCGTAGTACTCCAGTCCCGCGTAGCGGTATCCGTTACCCTACATTCTCGCCATTCATGTTAGCTCCTGCAACCTTGGCTGCGTGTTATAGAAATCAGCAAGTCGACATACCTTGCAGTCAGCCACACACATCTCCACCGTCATGTTCTCGCGGGACAGCGGGCTCTTGAAGCTGAGGGTGTCGGGCTTCTTGACATCATTGTAACAGCCCGAGTACACAAACGGTTGGAAGGCTGACAGGCAGGGCGGGAGGGCGACGGTCCACGCGTATGTCTGACCAGCGTAGGACACGACAGCCGCAGCCGCGACAAGGGAGCGCAGGCTGGACATGATGGCCAAACGAGAAATTGGATACTCTTGCTCAGTAGAGAATTAAGTAGACAAGGGGGAAAAGGGAAACCAGTGGATGGGTATGTGATATGCCTTGGCAAAACGAATGACCAAAAGCAACAAGCGAGTGACTGGCCCAATGTGCCGATACCCAAGAGATGAGAGGGATGGAGGAGCGAGTGGTGAAAGTGTCGATCAGAAGAAGACGATCATCTGGGAGTACTTATACAGACCCAGGCCGGCCTGGCTTAGCCCGCCTTCCCCTAACAGAGAGCCTAACTGTAGAGAGGAGACGATCCGACGGTCGACAGAAGACAAGGGCCAGGCTTGGGCTGAGGTTCGTCGGCAGCAGGAAGAGGCTTGGCCGCAGAGTGGCCGCCGCCAAGCGGCGTGGGGCAGAAGATTCAGCTCCACGAGGTAAACAACCCAAAAAAGGGCCATGCTCACGAAGACCTGGGCCGCCGCCGCGGCCCACACAGCTGACGACCTGGGCCAGTCGTAAGAGGCAGACCCTGGGAGGGGTCGATCTTCTGGCTCTCGGGGGTGGGCCGACCAGGTTAGCCGGCAATGCGACCCCACGGGCTTGCTCGCCAGGGTATTTTGAGCCCTCCCATTCAAAGCCTGCAGAGCGAACGAGATTGCACCCCATCGCACGGGCTCTCGAGTCTCCTGCGGGCGGTCCAGAGGAATCAACGTGCTAGACCATGAACTGCAATTGCAATCGTATGGTACCGATATCCCACGCCAACGGATATCTCGGCATGTCGAGAGGTCGGTATCCCCGCCGTGGCGGTGTCATAGACATGTCATCCCATGGGATCGAACGCCCCGGGGAGTTTGCGTCCGTTGAGCCTCGAGTCCGTTTAACGCTAGCAAGAACGCCCGCCGAGTCCTTGAGCGGGAAGAAAAAAAGAAACATGAGGGAAATACGAACTCGGCGCTTGGACAGCCCCACCAACATCTGGCCATCGTCAGTGCCGTCTTGAACGAGGGGTGCACGCCATGACCTCTGAGCAGCCAGGTTGTTTGGGAGGTGGGGTTGTGACCAGAATCTTCGGTTTGCATGCTCGGGAGTGAAGAGGGAGGAACCGGAAGCAGGGAGCTCCCCAGACCCCCGAGGCTCTGATGGTATGCCCAGTCAGGTGGGTGCTTATTTTGGGCGCACTAACAACAGCCGACGCCAACCTGAAGCACCGTATTCCTTCAGGGGGGGATTTTTCTTCTTTTCTTGTGTGCTCCTTCTGACAAAGACCGGCAAAGAGAAAGAGGTCGAGACAGTGAAAAAAAAAAAAGGGGCACAGCACTGGTGCGGATAATTACCCGGCCTGCATGATGGCCCCTGTCGACGGCGTCCCTGAACTTTCCCAAAACGGACAGTGAAAAGGTGCGGAGGGAAGGAGCTTGGCACCACTTGGCGCGTCTTTCAGCGAACGACAGGGCAGTGGAGATGCACGGGCCCGCAGCCACACGCCGGATTCTCCACAAGAAACAAAATGAGTGGGGCTCGGCCCTGACGGCTGTGATGCGCCGCTGGCTCGTTCCTGCATTAGCCAATTGGGTTTTTTGTTTACGGCGGGGTGAGGATCCCATCCGCCCAACCCAGCCTGCTGCTGCTGCTACTGCTGCTGCTGCTGCTGCTGCGCTGTCTTTTGTTGCGTGCCCACCCGCCCGTTCGTCGCCAAGGCACCGCCAGTCCATGGTTCGCCGTCGGATATCACGCCGTCGACCAAAAAGCCCGCCCCCATCCAGGAGCGTCGCAACACCGCTACCACACATGCATGTCTGCATGTCTAGGCCCTGCGCCTGACTCGACTTTCTGTGCCTCCCTTCGCTTCACTTCCTGCCGTGTCCATCTACACTAGGTGCCCGCACCTACCTACAGGTCGCTAGTACGTAAATATCCAGGTGCTTCTACGGCACAGGCTCAGCCCTTTTCGTTCCAGAGGGGGCGCCTCCGACCTGCGTGGCTCCTCGCCAAGAATCCTAGCTGAGTGGCGGGGTGCAGACGCAAGCGCGCCTCCCAGGAAATGAACCGTCCCCCAAGAAAAGGGACTTTTTTATGGAATAGGAGCGAATGGGCCGCACCATCCGGCCAGGCTGCACGTCAGTCAGAACCAGGAGGGCCGCAGGTGTGGTCGCCTCGTTGCTTATTTTGGCCCCCTTTTTGTGTCCTGTGCCGCCGTTGCTTAGATCACCATCAAGCAGGTTCTCAACGTCGTTTCTAACCCAACGCCAGCATCTCCCTGCTCGCAGGACAGACCCGGACCTTAACACCGCCAAATATGAGGCTCGTCTTTGATGATGAATGAGCCAGGTCTACGGGCGGCCGTTGGTGCCATAACGTCGATGTCAGTGCACAAACCACCCCGCGGGTTATAGAGCCCGAGGGTTACCTCTCAGGCATCGCACTTGTGAGAAAACATCGTGTGGTTCCCGCTCCACGTTACATCCACTTTGTCGCCATCTGTCGTACGGCGCAGACTGCCTCTCTTAGGGTCTAGATTTTGCGCGCTCGACCCGAGCACATCTGCCAGTCGGCATTTACGCCCCCCTAGACTCGGGGTTTCCGTTGCACCTGCTGTCCAAATCGACAATCCTAAGTAGATTGGGTTGCTACGCCACAGACCTGCCGCAAGCCATCACCCAAAGATGCTTAACGAAATCCCTGAGCAATTAAAATTACTCGTGCGGGCTAAAAGCGCCTGCAATTTAACGGTCCTCCGGAGTAAAGTGCGGCGGGGCAATTCGACGTTTTCGGGGCAATTCGACGTTTTTTTTGTAACACTTTTCCCCACCCAAATTAGCTAGAAACCAATGTATCGCCGAAAAAGGTAATAAACCGCCCACCATTTTTTGCACGGTGTACAAAAGAATTAAAAGTAAAAGGCGTGGATTAAATTAAGCAAAAAATAAAATTATTTAAAGCAAATCCGTACCGGTTAAATTAATAACCGGTTTGTAATTTGGATTTATTTTTTTTTGTTATTCGTAATTTCCGGTAACGAAATTTCGTACTTTTTCGCAATATATTTGCTTGGAAAAAAAACGGCTAAAGCAAAATTAAAACCGTACTTTACTTTTTAGTAATTTCGTACAACCTTTCGGACCGTGCTTTCGTTTTTAGCAATTATTTGCTAAAGCGTATAAAAAAAAAGTATTTCGGTAAATTACTAATCGGGAAAAAAAAAACGTTATTTTTTTGCTTATTAAATTATTCGCAGGCAAAAAGCAAAGCCTTTTCGCGGAAAGCATGGAACCAATCGTTACGATCCCGGCGTTATTGCCAATATATCCGGATAAAATCGACCTCGTTTTAAAAGAAAATTTTTTACGGGCGTACTAACGCGGTAATTTCGTTCCGCCGTGCTTTTTACAAAATAAAACGTGCCCGCAATTGCTTTAATCGTTTGTTTTTTTTTCGTTTGTAATTTTTTAACTATCGCTTAAAGGTTATTAATTTTATTTTAATATTTTTGTTACGGAAATGCCGGCGCTTTTTACGTTAGCCGGCGAAACGCGCGCTTTCGTTATTAATTATTCGCAATCGTGCGTTGCCCGCTAAAATTAAGCTTATTTTGGTAATTAATCGATTAAAAAAATTCCTTTTTTTTTAATTAATATTTGCTTTTTTCCGCTGCCGGAGCTTTTCGATTGCGCGCGCGCTTGCAAATATCGCCGCCTCGTTAGCTTTTTTCATTTTGGAAACGACGTAAATTACCGTTGGCGAAATCGGCCTGCCCGTTGCGGCAAAAAATTGTAAGCGCTTTTAAAGCCAATTCTCGTACGGGCGGATTGCTAATAAATCTAACGTTGGAATTGTAGCTTTTTTCCAATCGCGGGCTAGCAAAACAAACGATGGCGTTTTTAACAAACGTAAAATTTCGTTGGCTTCGTTAACCTCGTTAAAAAAAAAGGCAAAAAACCGGCTTCGTTGCTTTATCCGGCGGAATTGTTCGGTTGCGTTAGGAATATAACCGATTTTTTTGGTAATTACGGCTTTTAACGTGGCCGAAATAAGCGGATTTTCCAAATTATTAAGCATAACTTCCGGATCGAAAAGCTAAAGCCCGCATTTAAGCCAGGCTAATTTAATAATGCTAATTTTAAAAGTACGCCGGCGCATATTGTAAAGCCCGTTAAAAAATTTTGCGCGGTCGTAATTAACCGCGCTTTGCTTAATTTGCCGTACGAAATCCCGTTAATGCGCAACCTTAAAGGTTAAAAAAATACCGACGTTAAAAGGTTGCAATTTGTGGGTTGTATGCAAAGGAAAAAGGAAAATTACGATTTTTTTCTTTTCGCACTTTTCTTAAAACGGTAACGTTAAGTAAAATCCGTAATTGTTAATTAATAACAAACAATATTCGTTAAGCGACGAAAGCGTCGTTTGTTTAACGAAATAATTAAACCAATCGAACGCAATTAAATCGTTGGTCCAACCGTTTTCGCTTATGGTAAAAATCGTTTTTAAATTTAAAAAGTTGCGCACGTATTTTTCGTTAATACAAATCCCGGCCATAATAATAAACGGAAGGATCGTTGCGCCGGCGGCCGAGCAGGTTTTAACAATCGTAACGATATTTCGGTAATCCGGATCGTTTTGGAACCAAATTTCGATATCCGTATAGCACCAAATAAGGTTTTTTTGGAACACGCTTACCCGAAAGCCTATTTCGTTGGAATTCCATTTATTTTCCGGCTTAATTTGATATTTTTTTACGCACCGCGCGTAAAAATCGAACCATTCCTTTAGCATTAGCCTATTTTGTGCCGCGCGCTTTTCGATAATTTGCGGCCTTTTTTTTACCCGTTTTAATAGCTTTTTATAAGCCGAAAGCCAGGCTTAAACCCATTTCTTTTTAGCGTTTGTTAAAAAAGGGGTTAGCCGGCGGCGAAGGATCGAATTAACGGTTTAAACAACGGCAATTGCGGTAACGGCGTTTCCTAAAAAAGGTTAATTTATTTGCTAATAAACCGTACCCAAAACCGTTTAAATTAACCTACCAATTAATTGCTTCCAATTAGCCCACGCAAGCAACGCAAAATCTTCGATTTTTATTAGCTTTTTATTGTGCCCGCCGTTCCTTACTTTGCCGGCGCCTTTTTGCTAGCGCTTTTGCAGTAAGCAAAGGTTTATCCCGTATTGCCGCGCGCAAGCGGCGAAGGTTTTAAAACCGCTTTAATCGAAAGCTTCCAAAGCTATTAGGACCCGGGCTTTATTAGCCCGGGCCTTTTCGCGCTTTTTTTCGCACCGGATCCTAAGCATTTCGGTAAAATTTGGCTGGAAAACTTAAAAGCGCAAAGCCTAAATTGGCGGGGTTAAAATTACGATGGTTTTTTGGCTATGCACCGTACTTATAGGAATTCGGCTAACTATTACCTTTTTCGGCGATACATTGGTTTTTAGCTAATTTGGCTGGGGAAAAATGTTACAGAAAAACGTCGAATTGCCCCGAAAACGTCGAATTGCCCCGCCGCACTTTACTTCGGAGGACCGTTAAATTGCAGGCGCTTTTAGCCCGCACGAATAGGCTCGAAGTGGTGTATTTTAAGAAAAAAAGAGCGTTAGCTCGTGTTAGTTGTGTGCAAACCTGACACGGAGGGAGATGGGTCCCTTAAGCTGGTCCACCGAAGCAAAATGTGGACGTTCCGAGTGACCAACTGACTAGGTAGTCACCTATTAACATGACAAATGGCAGATCCTTCCTAATTAAGCCACATCC